GAACCATGGGGGAAATAAATCATGTCCACCATCATTCTCATGTATTTACATACTGTTACATTCCTAGACTTTGTTGAACGTTTTATACTGTATCACCCTGGTACAATGTCACACTGCTTACATACCTGCTCACAAAGCTGGACCAAACTGGACCACTTGGTGGAAAAGCAGGAAAGACAGCATTTGTATGTGTAAGTTTGTTTTCACATATGTAGCATATTTTGTTTGAGTCTTAGGAATTTCATCCCAATCGTACAATACGAGAATGTTAGAGCGCAAGAGACTTTCAGAAACGCTTCACTAATTCACTGACCTCCCATTTAAAGATCAAGCCTTCTCCGCCTCTGCAGGTCAGCAATAGAGAAATGAAAAAAAGCCAGGAGGACAGGGTGTGATGAAGAGAATGATCAATACTTTGCTTGACTTAATAATTTCACTGCACTCACAACTATCAAGATCTCCTGATGTGGTTCTATTCAAGGCTCCTTATTTTCTTCGACTACTGCTGCTGCTAGCAGTCCTCTCCGCCTTCATCCTTCACTATACTCCCCAACACTCCTCGACCTCGTTCCTCATCATTAATCTCTGAAAATCATCGGCTACATACATTCTGCCCAATCGATGCACTTCTACCAAGGTCTTGTCTGATTTACCACATGGTTGAACCCCCGTATGAATCTTGACTGGCCGGGGGAGGAGGGGGGCGGGGTGCAAAGGAGAATGAGAATGGGAGAGGAGGGTGCCCTATGATGGAAATTATCATCACAAAGTAATCCGATTCAAAGACGGAACATACGGATCAGATGAAGCACATATGAACATGGACTAATTTCACACCATTTAGGGTCCATTTCGGGGCTGAAGGGGCAGGACTTTGGCTTTGGCCTGAGAAGCAGAACAGCTGTGCCCAGACAGGTTCAGCTTCCTGTTTGCCCTGCTGGGTTCCAGAGCACCAACATACACAGGCTCCTAACTCCGAGTCACGCTGGGTAGCCACTGGGTCAAGCCTTCGAAATCGCTGAACAAACACACACACACACACACACACACACACACACACACAAACAGTGTTTTTTCCATTTATTTACCTCATTCGCCAGACTACAGTAAAGTCTCACAAGAAATTCTGAGTCATTTTGTGAACACTTAGGGTGGAGGTTATTGCTCGTATCCGAGCCCAGCATGGCTTTAATGGAATGTAATATAACGGCATCAGCAACAGGTGGCAGAGGCGTTTTCGTGTTCTGTCAGCAGTGAGTGAACATTCCCTCATCACTTGTCATCACCGAGGAGGAATATCATGTAGTGTGAAACACCATGGGTTGCCACCACCAGACAGGAAATCTTTGAAATTGACCTCAATGAACCACCCCAACTCACCAGCAATCAATGAAAAGCAAATTAACGTTTTTTTCATTATCATGGAATGTACCGCAATCCCGTAGCAGTCTTACCAATATGGCTGTGTGTGTGTGTGTGTGTGTGTGTGTGTGTGTGTGTGTGTGTGTGTGTGTGTGTGTGTGTGTGTGTGTGTGTGTGTGTGTGTGCGTCCAAAGATGGATAAAACATTTTGGTCGTTCTTGCATATTCATGCCCTGTAAAGTCCTTGCATGAACTACAACGGGAGCAGTGCTGACATAAAGATAAATGAAACTGCTAGATTCCGCAATAAATGCAGTGAACAGCAAAAGAGAACGCCTGAGCAGATATACAAACTGAGATACAGAGGGACGACACATCACAAGGGGCATTTTGTTGGGTGCATATGTCGATATGAAGCCCCTTGAAGCTGACAATTTCACTCTAAATGTCCACTGAAGAATCCAGGAGCCTACGCAACCCCCAGCTCACAGCTTGTCAATACCTAAATCTTGCAAGAACAAGGATTTACACTGGATTAAGAGACCGTTTAGCCAAACAATAGGCAGCATTTATTCCGCTAATCAAGTGCCTACAGGATAAAGTAAGAAAGCGAGGAAAGAAAAAAAAAAAAAGAAGGCATTTGGGTTTCAATTTCTGATGTAGAAACAACCAAAGCAATAATTTAGCTACTCTGAGAACAAAACAAATCCAGAATTGTAAGCTTTCATAAAGTTTCATAAACTGCAAGAAATACATACAAATACCATCGACATCTTATGCACAAAGAGCAAAAACTGTTTAATCTGTTCTTCAATGGGAATGGCAATATCACAGTAGAAGCATGTCTTGTGACACATTCTCACATGAGGCAGGACCGCAATAATCACCGAGCAGACACACGGGTCTCACTGGGTCCCAACACTCAAGCACAATAACTGTCATTGGTGTAAGATTGTCTCCCAAGCCTCCGTGGCATAATTAATGAGTAGTCGCCCATGCAGACACAACCTACTGGAGGACCCTGTTCTGGCCCGGTCGGGTGCAGACACTGCACAGAAAGCAATTACAACCCAAGGAAATACAGATAAGATGGCATCAAAGACAGACAAAAACTGCTTGTGTACAGCAAGCAAATGTCATCTCCATCTGTTGTTACTAGAGCTTAAAAAAAAGCAAGATTATGTATCAGTTTACTGAACAGACAATGCAATGTGTGCAATGAGTCTGCATTTGTCAACATGCAAGGGCTATGTCGCTAAGCTAGAGCGGGCCTCCCCATTGGGCCACGTGATTGTGTGAGCGACTGGGGAATTTGGCTGTGTAGGGGATTAAATCAGGAAGCCAAACCAGAACCACTTTGGTCGTTGTGTGTGTGTGTTTGTGTCAGGACTAATCACTTAATGAACAGGGAAGAGCACCATTGCTCAGCTGAAGCAGAGGACATACTCCTCTCCTCTAATAACACCGGCCAACCACCACAGCTTGAGCCCAATGGAAGGTGCCCACGGTCACTCATGATTGGGTCTGGTGCGTGAGGCATGCACAGTTGCAGGCTGACCCTTTCTGAAAGAGCTGGCTGAGAGAGCTGACATTTTTCATCAACGGTCAAATGGGATATTATGCATGTCATTAATCTAAATAGGTCTAGCGTGGATTAGCTGCATGGGCAATGCTTATGTAATTGTTTTCCGAACAGAATACACAATCCATGTGTCAGCCATTTACTTCAGCACAAGTAAATGTTATTTCAAACGGCAGCATAAAAAGTGATCACGTGAAAAATAATTATTTAGTAATTGTCTCTGCCAAACTCTGGATTTTACCAGTGAAATGTCAACACAGACAGCTCAGGAAACAATTCTGACACTTGAGCTTATCTATCCTTACATGGATCTGACAAACAAGCCTTGCCAGAAATTGGGACAAAATCCGCTCATAAATGCATCATGAGGCGCGGATGATCCAGGCGACACCGTATCATTACCAGTCTGGACCCAGCAGACCTTTGCACCAGCAGCGTACCACCAGCAAAGCCTCTCCAGAGAGCATATTGAACTGGGTCTTTCTATCAAGTGACGATTATAGACAAGCAGCACCAGTGAGGAGGGAGAGCCCAGGTACTTGTGGTGATATACTCATAATTAATCTTTTGTGGGAAAACACCATGCAACATTTATTTCTATTGTAGGACTGAGCAGATGTAGCAGATATATCATTAGTTGATTGTCCACAAGCGAACAACAACATATGGTACCTTTGTGCAACACTTGAGCTTTGTTTGGTTCTATAAAGCCGTGCTATTCCTCTGCAAAGCCAGCCAGAATGGCTCTACGTCACGTTCACGGGGGTCGCAGCAATATGCTTCAGTACACTAGTCGATAGTACAGCTTGACACTGTTGTCTGTTCATGATTATGTTTCATGTCATCACATGATAATGGAATGCTTACACTGTGTGGTCATTCGCCTTCACATCCAGTGACTGGAAATGCAAGCCTATCGAGGCTTTACCTGACTGGAACATTAATGTGGCTAATAGAACTGAATTCTGATGCAGCAAAGTTTGTGGAAAGGTGAAACTTAAGGCACATATCAGCGTTGAGAGGAAATCCCCACAAGCAAACAATCGGGAAATGCCCAAACAGACCAGGGCAGGGGCGCATTTGAAGAAAACACTGGCCGAGAAAATGCAATTTGCACGCATACACGGCTGCTCGGCACGACCAGCTGGGCCAGGTAGCACAAGTAACGCCTATTTGCTGGGAGGTTTTAAACAACAGATGGTAGGAAAATCTCTCAGCAGAAACATGGGCTTTTGAGAGGGTCACAAGCAATGCATCAGAGCTTGCCTCTTCTTTTTCATGCATGGCTCCACTGACAGTGCATAGCTCACCTCACGGATCCACACTCAGCACGACCAAACATCCCCTCAAACCAGATATGATGAAGTGAAGTCCTGTCTCTATCATGAATTACAACAAAAACAACAAACTGCAGTGTCATTGGAGTCAATAGTGAGATATATAGGTGCCTGTTTTTCAGGGAGACCACAAACATGCCCAAGGCGATATGAAGACAGATTCATGTAGCTCTTATTTCCCAGCACCTGTCAGGGTGGTACCCAAGGCACCATGTCGAGGAAACCCACGTCATGCAGCCACAGCCTAGAGGAGAACCGTTTGACTGACTGCTTTCCTTGCCTTGCCTTACCTTGCCTTGCCTAGCCTGCCTCGGGACTAAGAATAGATCAATGCATCGGGCATATAGGGATTAACGGTGCTGTGCTCCAACCGGAACACGCACACGAGAACGCGCACACCCACGGGGATAAGGAACCCAAAAGTTTATTCTCACAGTCCTGCCGGGATGCGCGCACACACGCGTACACAACCTCGCAGTCCAAAACGATGTACAACAGCGTCACCTAAATCTACGACAGTCCTCCCCATGCACCCCCCCCCCCTTGTCCCACTGCGTGAACAATGACTATGTCAGCGGATCAGTGGGAAACAGCAAAGCACAAGGAGCCGCGTGAGGGGCTTCGATCTAAACACTTAAATGACGTGCAACACGCTCCGCGCGAGCTCTCATCAAATTACGCGAGCAATTAAAACCGGGTGCACGGAGTAAGGCGCTAACCTGTCTGTCCTTTGCCCAGCGTCTTCTCCAAACGGTACGGTCCAACGTAATTGGCATGCGGGGCTCCGCTGTTGTCTTTACCGGACGATGACATGACGAATGCGGCTGCAGATCAGTTACTTTCTAGAACGAAAAGCAGGCGACGAAAAGCACTCGTCCTCCTCGGAGGTCCGAGCCGCTTTGAGGTCTTGCTTTTAAAACTCCGCCGCCGTCACCTCCTCTTCTTGTGGCTCTCTTTCTTCAGCCTCTTTCTGCCTCCTTTGGCCACAACCTCGCTCGGTGTTTGAGGAGACGAGGTTGTCCCTTTCTCTCCCCTCAGCTCTCCCAATCACCGAAGATGAGCTGCAAGTGCCTTCAAAGCATTGTAGGAGCGAGCGAGTGAGCTGCTCTGCCTCGGTGCGACTGTGGGAGGTGCTGCGGAGGCGTGACTGATGATTGACGGTGGTCTTAGCCAGTCACAGAGGAGGCTTTGTCTTTCAGCCGCTGGACCAGCCCGAAGCCAGGGGTTCTCAAACTTTTGGGGTCCAGATAGGGGCGTTTAAATTTGTTTAATATGTGATCTTTGCATACTTTAAATATGAACCTGAAATTTGCAAATTTTTCATTCATCCGTTTTCTACAGCATCTACGGGTCGCACGTGGCCTGGACCCTACCCCAGCTGACTTGGGCGAGAGAAGGGCAGACGTTACCCACTGAACTGTTGGCAGCCAATTGCGCGGCACGATAACACATATAGGTAGTCATGCAACCATTCAAACTCTCGTTCACACCTAGGACAATTTAGAGTTTTCAATCAATCTGTGCATTTGCAATTTCCCCATCCAGAAACATCATGTTTTGTCATATTTCTCAAAACTGGTGGTATGATCTGACAGTAGTATATTGTTGGTTCCAGGCCTGAGGCTCCTATGTCACTTGGTCATCTCTATTTTTGTACAAACAAATCTTTTGAGCTTGTGATTATGTGGCTTCAATGTTCATAAAGGTGAGCTGCCATAGGTTTGTTTCAGTGGTGGGTCACTGAATGAAGGGTCTCCTCTTTGTATCATTTGCATGGGTTTGCCGTGTATTTTACACGGTGTAACCTTTTTATCTTGCAGCGTGTGACCTTTTCTCTTGCACCCCATCTTACCTTGATATTCTGTCACTGCTGTAAGCTTCCCTGACAACATTTCCTCTTGTAGGTGTCTTAATCTTTTTACAAGGACATACTTTTTCGTGAATTGTAACTATCCCAGTGGTAATGAATCCCAAATGTTAAATTAATCGTTTGTTTTGCTAGTATTGTGCCCAAATCTAGTGGCAGATGCTTTCCTCAAATGGCACCAGCCTTCAGCAGCTCGGCGCAGAGTCATTGCGTCCTAGCCGCACATACACATTTTCTTCAGTTCCTGCTTAGGTATTTCTTTATGAATCTACTTTTCAGTATGTGCATTCTCCCATTCGGACTTCTGACGCATCCTCTGCTGAACCTAGAAATAAGTGTACAGCCACCAAAAAGGTGTGACTCATTGAAGTCTGAAGCTGGTTGCATCATAGAGCATGGAGTTTTTTCCTGAGACTGGTCAATGTCATAGAAATATGAAAATCACTTCTGTAGCGGAAAAAATATGTGGAAAAAGGTTGGCAAACGTCACTGTTTTTTTGCCAATTAATATGCTCTCTATTAATGTTCGGCATCTGCAATATGTGATGGGAACACATTATTGTTGTTGGGCAATCAGTGAGCATTATGGGGCTGGTGTGTCACCAGGCTGTGAACTGAATGAAAATGTAAAAGATGATGTTTCAGTGATTTAAATCCAGGTCAAAGTGAGTACAATGGAAAACCTGGAAACTGGATGTGTTGTCATAAATTGTGTGTGATTTACTATTTTTTTCTCCCCTTTACCGACTGGTAGTCTTTGTTGTAGCTCAGGGGCGTCACATGTTTACTACGTCGGCTGCACTGATGACGTGGCCAAGTATTTTTATTCATACAATCTATGTATGGTCAATGATTATTCTTTATTGGTGGGGGTGAAATGTTGAATAATATTAACAGTGAAAAATACAACTTGAGTGGGTGCACTGTTCATGTATCTTCCCTTCCTGCTAAACATAGAGGAATGTTCTGTACTTTACTTTTGTGTTGCAAAAAAACTCTGAGTGATACTTAACACACCATGTGGAACATTGCTCGGGAGATTTGAAAGTATTTTGGCCTTTGAATCTGGGTTGTGCTTGATAATCTACCCTTGGGGGGAGGGAGGGAGTGATCCAACTAATGAAAGGTGCAGCTGTCTGAAGTGTTTATAAATATTTATTCTGAATGTGAAGAGTTTCTTGTCTCTGTCATTGTCCGCTCCTTATGCTCTGCTTTTTTAGATCACCTCTGCAAATGCACACACACACAATCACACACACGCTCAGTCAACACTAACTCTCAAGTGATTGTGTGAGCGCAGCAGGGGGGAGCGTGTGTTGGACTTCCAATTCATTTCACACCCCACTGGTCTGAGACCTGTGACTGTGGCTCTGGACTCTGTCTGTTCCTCGCACCCTGAGAGGGCACAGATGTCAGGGGACGCATACAAGAGACACACAAACACGCTTGCTCTTTCATACACAAATGTGTTATTTGACCTCCAAGTCTTCTTAAACAGAGGACAAAGTTAAAAGAGTGTCTGAAATAGCAAGTAGGAAGAATTGCATCATGAGCACAAAGTCAGTTATAGCCCTCAAAACTAAGGGCATTCCAAAGAGAAAAAAACAGCTTTCATCGCTCCAGAAATATAACTCATTGCATTTCACAAATGTAGTTGATAGTGGGAGCAATAGCAGGGATTGTAACTCTATAACATGGATGTCCAAACTATGGCCCGGGGGCAATTTACAGCCCACAGTATTTATTAAAAATGACATTTGATTTATTTAACTTCTTTCTTTAACCAAGAAGGTCCTATTGAGATTAAAAACCTCTTTTACAAGGGAGCCTTGGCCAAGAGTTGGCCAAGCGTTACAGTTTCAAAATATCGAAAATGACTTATGGCAGCAAAGAGTTAGTTTGGAACATAATTTAAAATGACATTGTGGAAATTGTAGAACTCGAAGAAAGCGACAATTTCTCACGTTCGCACACCTAGAGAGAGTGTGTCGTGTTTTTTTATTAGCACACCAAAAAAAAACACTCGCGCCAAACGAAACCCGCCGAAAGTAAGTTTCCATAGAAACAAGCAGACTAACATGGCGGTCCTTAAAGGAACTGCAATTATTTCTACCCCGTTACCAAATAATCGTGAACTCTCTGACAAGCATATGAACATTGCATTCACACATTTGCAGTTGGTGGTGAATTATGTACATAGGAGTCACCACACACGTCCCCCCAGAATTCTGCTTCTTCTCCTTTTGGCACGTCCCTATTCAGGT